GTCATGTATGGATGTGAGAGTTGGACTATAAAGAAAACTGAGCGCTGAAGAACTGATGCTTTTGAACTGTGGTGTTGGAGAAGACTCTTGAGAGTCCCTTGGACTGCAAGAAGATCCAACCAGTCCGTCCTAAAGGAAATTAGTCCTGAATATTCATTGGAAGCACTGGCGCTGAAGCTGAAACTCCAATACTTTGGCGACCTGGTGTGAGAACTGACTCATTGAAAAGACCCAGATGCCGGGAAAGATTGAAGGTGGCAGGAGAATGTGGACAGAGGATGAGATGGTTGGATTGCATCACCGACTCAATGGACATGAGTTTGAGTAAACGCTGGGAGTTGGTGTTGGACAGGGAGGCCTGGTGTGCTGAAGTCCATGGGGTCGCAGAGTCGGACACGACTTAGCAACTGAACTGAACTGAGACTTCCTCAAAATTTTAAAAATTTTGTGCATCAGAGGATGCTCTCAAGAAGGTGAAAAGACAACCAAGAGTGGGAGAATGAGATGTTCAACATCATTTGTCATTAAAGAAGTAACTAAAACCACAGTAAGATACCACTACATACACACTAGTATATATACATTTTTTCTAAGGTAGTCAGTAGTCCAATAGTCATGTACAGATGTGAGAGTTGGACCATCAAGAAGGTTGAGCACTGAAGAACTGATGCTTTTGAATTTTGGTGCTGGAGAAGACTCTTGAGAGTCCCTTAGACAGCAAGGAGATCAAATCAATCAATCATAAAGGAAATCAACCCTGAATATTCATTGAAAGGACTGATGCTGAATCTGAAGTTCCAATACTTTGGCCACCTGATGTGAAGAGCAAACTCTTTGGAAAAGACTCTGATGCTAGGAAAGATTGAAGGCAAAAGGAGAATGCGGACAGAAGATGAAATGGTTAGATAGTATCACCGACTTCTCAACATGAATCTGAGAAAACTCCAGAAGATAGTGAAGGACAGGGGAGCCAGGCATACTGTAGTCCATGGGGTCACAAAGAATCGGACGCAATTTAGTGACTAAAAAACAACAACAACAACAAAAGAAAATAAAGTGTTGGAGAGTATGTGGGGAAATTAGAATCCTGATGCAGTGCTGGTAGGAGTGCAAAATGGTATAGTCACTGTGGAAGACAATTTGGTAGTTCCTTGAAAAGTTAACCATGGAATTGCCATATGACACATCAATTTCACTCTTGGGTACATAGAAGACAGAAGTTAAAAAAAAAAGCTTGTATATGAATATACATAATAGACAAAGACACAACAATTCAAATATCCATCAAGTGATGAATGAGTAAAAATAATTGTGGAACATCCATACAATTAAATATTACTCAACCCAAAAAGGAATGTACTGATCCATGCAAAAAAATGGATGAATCTTGAAAACATTATACTAAATGAAAGAAGCCAAACATAAAAGGACAAGTGCTTTATGATTCCATTTATATAAAATGTCAAGACTAGGTAAATCCATAGAGATAGAAAGCAGATTAATGGTTGCTAGGGATTGGTTGCTAATGAATGGGAAGTGACTGTGTCATGAGAATAAATTTCCCTTGGGGATGACAGAAATGTTCTGGAATTAGATACTGGTAATGGTTGAATAAACTAAAAGCTGCTGAAAAGACTAGAATGAAATACATCAAAATGATACCTTTGGCGATTTTTGTGTTTTTGCCGCTCTTTATTTTCCTGTTTATAATAAGCACGTAGTACAGTAATAAGTCTTCCTTATCTCTCTCGTCATTGTCTGAAGCTAGCCTTTCAAACTTTCCTGTCCACACAGATCTCCTGTGACCCTTTTAAAACACTGATTCGAATTGAATAGGTCTAGGACAGGGCCTGGGAGTTTGCATTTCTAAAAAAAGCTTTCAGGGCTTCCCTGGTGGCTCAGTGGTAAAGAATCCGTCTGCCAATGCAAGAGACGCAGGTTTGATTCCCGATCTGGGAAGATCCCACATGCCATGGAGCAACTAAACCTGTGTACCACAGCTATTGAGCCTGTGCTCTAGAGCCTGGGAACTGAAACCTCTGAAGCCCACACGCCCTGGAACCCGTGCTCCGCAACAAGTGAAGTTACTGCAACGAGAAGCCAGCGCACCACAACCAGAGCATGGCCGTTGCTCCCTGTAATAAGGGGCTTCCTGATAACTCGGTTGGTAAAGAATCCGCCTGCAATGCAGGTGAGACCCCGGTTCGATTCCTGGGTCGGGAAGATCTGCTGGAGAAGGGATAGGCTACTCACACAAGTATTCTTGGGCTTCCCTTGTGGATAATAATAGTAATTCCCTGTAATAAGAGAAAAAACCCCACAGCAACAAAGAATCAGTACAGCCAAAAATAAATAAAGGTTAATCTTATCTAGAAAAAAATCTTCAAAAAAAAAATAATAAAACTTCTAAATGATATTGTTGCACCTGGACTGCAGACAACCCCTCCTTCCTTTGAGCAGCCAGGCTCCAGAAGTCAACAGTAGGGAGGAGGGGGCGATGGATGGAGCAATTCACTGCAGCTGAGATGCCAGCATAGAAAAGACCATTGCTTCCGGATGGCCTCCCCCAGAAACCTAGTGCAGGACATATTTACACTAAAAAGTTATTCACTGTTTATCCAAAATTCGTATGCCACTGACTGTCCTGTAGTTCTACTTGCTGACTCTGGAGCCCTGGCCTGTGTTGGAGAGGGAATGGACCTGGTTGCCAGGCAACCTGTGTCCAAGGCCAGTCCAGGCTACTCAAGGCAGCTCGGTCGGTGGTCCTGGTGGTCCCCATGGCTTACTCTTCAGCGACCTGCCCTTGTGTCTTCTACTCCCACTGCTCTTGGGTCTGACCACCTCCTGAGGAAGGCTTGCCTTGAAGCCTTACACAGACTCGGAGCAGGCTGCCCAGTCCAACCAGGAGGCAGCTTACACAGTCATTACCACAAGGGCTTGGGACCAGATGGGCTAGGGTTTTGAATGGAGACAGGTAGGTTACTTACCTTCTCTCTGGGCTTGACATCCACTTGTCACGGGTGGACAATGCTTCCTATTCCCCAGTTCTGATGATGAGCTGAGACCATTTCTAAAAAGTGCTTAGTGCACTGCCTGGGAGGATCCCCTGGAGGAGGGCGTGGCAACCCACTCCAGTATTCTTGCCTGGAGAACCCCTTGGACAGAGGAACCTGGTAAGGCTTCATACAGTCCATAGGATCACAAAGAGTTGGACACAACTGAGGCGACAGCACACACGCACACGCACTGCCTGGCACCCAGTAAGTGCTGAAGACATGGAAGAAACCATTGTTTTCCGTTCTTTTTTCCTCCTACAATGCCCAGCACAACACCAATCTCAGCCAACAGTTAGTGCGTGCTTGTGGAGCTGAACCTCAGGAATCTGCTAGAACAGCAGAGACACTACTCTGACCTGCCTATATATCTCAGCTCTGACTCTAATTCTCTATGACTCAGGGCAAGCCAATTTCTGCCTCTACACTTTGGTTTGGGTACAGCCTGTGAAACTGCTTACATGCTCATTCGGCAGATGAGAAAGCTGAGGTTCCTGACTCATGGGGAATGCCTAATAGCACCTTGGGCTCTCACGCTCAGTGTAGTCCCCCTGCGAGGCCCCTCTTCCCCCTCCCCTCCCCATTAGCCCCAATCCTGAGCAGGTGGGTTGAGGGGTGTGGATGGGGTCTGTGCCTCACCTGGCTGACCTCAGGGGGACAGAGTCCATGCGGATGGGGTAACTTGGAGATTCCAGGGTTCTCTCCAAGTCTGTGGTGAGTCCTCTCGCCTTGCATCAGTAGTTGGGCCGGCTCTGGTTTATTCCATGCTATTCCATTGTCATTGGCAGGGCGGGGCTTGGTAAAACTGGACCTGAGTGTGTCCCAGCCTCTCTGCCTCCCCTGGTCCCTGTTGTCTTCCTGCAGTAACCAGAGCTCATGTGTTCATATCTGTGACTGTGAAGTCTGTTTGGCCCTTCAGGGATCAGGGCGGTTGGCTCCAGGGTAGAGGTGTTGTCGACTGTCTTGCTTTCAGGCCCCAGGCTGGCAGGATCCCTCCACTCCCCTGTCCAGCTGTGCCAAGACCTCTCCTTTTCTTTCTTGGCTTCTGCCCTGTTCGTACAGTGATTGGCCCAAGAGAGGGGTATGGGCTGGCAGGTGCCCTACACAGAACCTGGAGGCAGCATCCAGGCCTGGCTGACCCACCTCAGGGCCCCCTGCCAGTGCCCCCAGCCAAGCTGGGTCCCCTCCTTCCTGCCCGGCTGAAACAGGGCCTGGAAGGGCACAGTGGCAGGCCCTCTGTGATGCTCCTGTTGCCATGGTGATCCTAGATGAGAAAGCCATAGCATTCCACCTCTGGAATCTCCATGCATCTGCCCAGCTCTGCTACCTCTGCCCCGAGAGATGGCTCTCTGCTGGGGGGCTCCTCAAAGCCATGGTCTCTATTGCAGTCAGAGTCTCCTCTGTGCACCCCACATCCCTCAGACCTCTTTTCAACCCCACTACCCTAACTGGTGAGACTAGTTTCACCACTCAGAAACTGACCTCCACTGGAAAGATGACAGACAACAGGTTAGTGGAAAAGGCACAGGATTTAAAATCAGAAGACCCAGTTTCCAATCCCAACCTGGCTCTTTATAACCATGCTACCTTGGACAAAGCAGGCTTTGAACTTCAGTGTCCTCTTCTGTGTACGATGTGGATAATAATGCCTTACTTAACTATTCTCAGTAATGCCTCTGTGACTTTTCATGGGCTGTTCCTCTGATATGTAATGCATTTTCATTCTTCTCAACTCAAACTCCTGCTCATACCTCAAGACCCAGCTCAAATGCTCCCATCTCTGTAAAAGTTTCCCTGACCTCCGTGCACATGGCACAGATATTAGGCCTTGTCCCTCTGTGTTAGGGCTATTTAAGCATTATCCTGGTTTTTAGTGACCATGAATTCTTCCCATAAATATTAATTGTTTGTTTATTTTTGGCTGTTGGGTCTTCACTGCTGCACACAGGCTTTGCTTTCTCTCGTTGCTGGAGTCGGGGCGCACAGGTTTCTCACTTCAGTGGCTTCTCTTGTTACGGAGCAGGGGCTCTAGATTGTGTGGGCTCAGTAGTTGTGGCACTAGGCCTTAGTTGCCCCGTGGCATGGGGAATCTTCCTAGACCAGGGATTGAACTCATGGCCCTTGCACTGGCCGGCAAATTCTTAACCACTGGGCCACCAGGGAAGTCCAATCATGAATTCTTGAAGGCATGAATCGGATTAGGCTCAGTTCTGGCTTCAGAAATGGTTTGTTGACTGACTGTGGAATGGAAAGCAGAAGAGACTGACACGGATGCGTTTGGGCCCCATCCTTGCAGGGTTCAATCCTGGGACCTTCGTCCAAGATGGATTGGGTCAATCAGGCTTCGTGGTGGCCTTTCCGTGTGCCTGAGTCATGCCTGCCTGGCTGCGAACATTTACATGACTGAGACCCGGTGGGAAAGACCATGACTTATGCCTGGGGTGTGCCTGTCTTAGGAGTGGGGTGTGACCAGGAGCAGCTGCTCATGGGGTGTCTCTGGGGATGTCCTGGGGCAACTCAGTCAACTGGTCCTGCTGGGATTTGGGGTGCACTGCCAAGGAACTCGAGGTTCAGGGAAAGGCAGGGAGGACTCCAGTGTCTCCCGAATCCCTCTCCTGGCTCTCTGGCTGCTGGTCAGGGTCAAGGAGATGAAGTGCCATCCAGTGCCAGTTTCACCATCCACACAGACCAGTGACCAGGCTTCCCAGGCCAAAGCCAGCTGGTCAAGGACGCCCTCCAGTGGCCACCACAGTTGGAGGCAGGAACCTGATTGCACAAAGGCTGATGGTTCATTTATTCCAACACCGAGAAAGTGTCCTCAGGCCAAGTGTGGTGTCAGGCATAGGTTTCAATTTTAATTTTAAATGTTTAAGCATGTGCTAAATGGAAAGCTCTCCCTCTTGAGTGTTGTTATGTGTTGGTGGGTGAAGAGGGAATAGAAGGAAGGAAAAAAATTCTCTCACAGCAGTGATCCTCAACCCACACCACCCACTAGACTCACCTGGGGAACTTGGAAAATACCAACCACTGGACCCCACCCAGACCAGCTGACTCTGGAGGGCGGGGCAGAGGCACCAAGGATTTGTGGATGTTCCCCAGGGAGAGTTAACAGCCATAAGAACTCTCTGGTTTGGAGAGTTGACTATAATGTTTTGCACCCAACATTCTCACCTGGCTGCTGAGGTAGGCATTATTGTCCCACTTCACAGATGAGGAGACTGAGGCTCAGGTAAACCTGCCCCTTTCCCCTGTTTGGTTAAGGACAGCGTTGGGGAAGAAGTCTCCCACAGCACAGGTAGCAGAGATGCAGTGAATACTCCTCGAAGATGGCCCCTGATCTCTGCAGAGACTCCCTTTTAACAGTAATGGCACGACTGTTTGCTGTGATTAGAAGAGCACCCAAGGGCGTTGTGGAATTGTTTCTTTTTCCAGGCAGAGAATTATAAAGGCCAAAAATGCCATGCAAAAAATCACCTGCAGTCTCAGCATCGTTAACACTGGGGCGGAGTGTGGGGGTGGGTAGGGAAGAGGAAAGTGAAGGAGAGAGGGAGGGGGCAGGAAGGAGTGGGTTTATTTTAAGGCTCAAGGTCACATTGTAAATCAGGACTTTGGAATGTGTGGTTGGGAGCCCACTGGCATGATAATTCCCCCAGTGCTTGTTAGACATACAGCATCCCTCAGGTCTCAGAATCAGGCTCTGGAGAAAGATCCTGAGACGCCACATATTTAAAAAACATTCCAGATTATTCTTACAGCCACCGAAGACCAAGCGCCACTGCTGCTTCAAGCTTTCACTTAATACAAGAGGAGATACCTCCTAGACTCCATCACTTCCAGTGGCTTAGGAGAGTTCTCACATATGGATTGATGTATTAAAATGTACGGAACCAGCTGTTGCGATATTAACCAGCCCTCCTTGGGGACCTGGGCACGCACTCCCCTATTGCACGGGCTGGCTGGGAGCCAGCAGCATAAGCAACTGCAGTGTCATCCCGCACCAGGCCCTGTCCCCACACAGCAGCCCCCTTGCCCCTCCTTCTCCTTCCAGGGCTCTAAAGCAACCTACTAACTGGGCCCTGCCAGCCAATCACAGCCCGAATAATCTATGATGTCACCAGAAGCCAATCAGAACTCCTCATGAGTATGTGCAGAATTTTGTCATCTCCCTGAGGGGATGGAGTTCCAAAGCAACGCCATCCTTTTTCAGAGAGGGACACTGAGGCCTAGGGAGAAGCAGAGGCCCACCCAGGGTCACCTCCTCAGGTGGCAGAGCCAGGGCTAGAAGCCAGAACTTCTGACTGTGGTCCAGTGTTCTTTCTGGTACCCAAAGTGCGGCACAAGCCCACAGGTCCTGGTCAAAGTCTCCCCTCTCTTGATGGCTCCTGGCACTGGAGATAAGGCCCAAGGCCCCCTCTTCCCCACAAGATCTTGCTCTCCCTGCAAGACCTCAGGGATCAGAAACAGACCCCTCAGTTTAGGGCCCAGAGGAAATGGCAGGATCATCAAGGCCCAAGGTGGAGGGGGTTGCCCTCAATTCCAGCCCTGGTCTCAACCCAACCCCCACCCCCATCCTCCGGAAGGAATTAGAGAGGCCCTGGCTGGACTGTGCTGCCTGCTGCTTAAGGGGAGATTACGAGGAGGGGGCCAAGACAAGGGCTCCTTTGTGGAAGGCCTCTGGCTTAGAGAGTCAAGTGACCATATAGCACACACGTGGGCAGTGCCAACCCCTAAGTGTGGGCAGGGGCACTGGCCATAGGACCCCAGAGAGTCCCACCAGTCCTGTGGCCAGAACTTTTGTGGGATCGCCTGGCCAGCCAGGAGCCCGAGCTGTAAGTAAGGGGTTATCCCAGCAGGCTGGGCTGGGGCTCTGAGGGCCACTGGGGTGGATGACCCTGCACATGTGCCCATGGTGGGTACACACAGGTATGTGGAAACCTGTGTGTCTGTGCAAAGGCCCTGAGGTGGGAATGAACTTAGGGAACACCAGGCACAGAGACGGCCAGTGCGGCTGCACCAGAGCAGGGGGAGGGTGGCCAATCAGGAAATTTTTTTGAGCACCTCCTATGAGAACACAATGGGAGCTTCCATTCCCAGGAGGGAATAAGCAGTAAACATGCAGATAGCCTGCAAAATATAACTGCGAGTGTAACACGATAAGTGTTATGTAGAAAAATCAAGCAAGGTGAGGAGAAGAGAGGGCTGGTGGTACTAGGATGCTATTTCCAGGTAGGGTGGCTGGGGACATTCTTTCTGAGGAAATGATCTAAAGTGGGAGTGAGCCATACAGTTAAATTAGGAAGAGCGTCCCCCAGGAACGAGGATCAGCAGGTAGAAAGGCCCTGGGGTCATCATTCGGTCACATCTCTACCATCCAAGCTCTGTTCTGAGCACTGGGGACAGGGTGGTGGCCAAGATTGCCCATGTCCTTTACCAGTTCTTACTCCAGGGTGGCGGGCAGAGCTTGAGGTGGGGGGCACTGAACTTGATAGGCTTAGAACACAGGAAGGAGCCCACACAGGTTTTTGGACACTTGTATTGCTGCCTTTGTAGTACAATTAAAGGAGACAGACTTCTGTGTGTCCTCCACACCAAGGCTAAGGACAGCCCCTGAGCTCAATTCCCTAGCTTCTTGGAGGGTACCTCCCTGCCCCCCTCCCAGTGTCCAGATGGGAGAACTGAGGCCCAGAGCAGGGAAGGGTCACTCACGAGTTCTGGACAGACACTGAAGGGGTCCCTGCTCCCTCCTTCCAGCCCCCATCAGTATCCCACTCTGTCTGTCCACCAGGACCCAAGCCCACCTGCTGCAGCCCAGGGCCTGGCCATGACTGTCACCTACTCGAGCCAAGTGGCCAATGCCCGTTTAGGCTCCTTCTCCCGCCTGCTGCTGTGCTGGCGAGGCAGCATCTACAAACTGCTCTATGGCGAGTTTCTCATCTTTCTGCTCTGCTACTACATCATCCGCTTCATTTACAGGTTCGGGGGGACAAGGGGGGACAGCTCCAGAGCTTGGAGCTCCAGAGGCCTCAGCGATCTAGGAGGCCAATGCACAGAGACCTATAAGTCTGTGCTAAGCTTTTGGAAAACCCCTAGGGCTGGGGGCTGGGGACAGGAAAGGAGACAGCCAGGAGGGAAACGCAGGGCAGGTCAGAGCATCTCAGACACCCTTTCCTCCATCCCAGGGAGGGCCCTTATCTGGTCCCATCCAGTTAGCCTGTTTTCCTGAATCCTACATGGTTTCTCTCACAGGCCCAGACCATGCTTTTTTCCCCCAATACAAATGTTTATTTAAGCAGGATAGCAATATATTCTGTTGTCAATAAAACTACAGAATATATAATATAGCATTTTTAATGAGAAAAGCATTAGTGATGACAATGAATTGAAAAATATCAAATACATAAATTTCTCGAGTTCATAAGGATAATACTAATAACAGCACATTTGTTTTCTTGGGTTGTTACTAGGGTACCAAAATACTTTAGAAAATTAGGCTTTATTTTTTAGAGCAGTTTTACGGGGCAGTAGCAAGACTGAGCAGAAGGTACAGAGAATTCGCATATACCCAACCCCCTCCCGCCACACACACAGCCTTCCCCACTATCAACATTCTACCAGAGAGCAGGATGTCTGTGATAATAGATGAACCCACACTGACACCTCATTATCACCCAAAGTCCATAGTTTATGTTAGGGTTCCTCCTTGGTGATGTACACTCTATGGGTTTGGACAAATGCGTAATGACTTGCATCCACCATTACAGTGTCATACAGAATAATTTCATTGCCCTAAAACCCCCTCTGTGCTCTACCAATTCGTTCCCTCACCAGACATTTTTTTCAAAGACAAAACACTTTATTTCAACATTTTTTAATATATTATTTTTATTCATTTGGCTGCACTGGGCCTTAGTTGTGGCACACTAGATCTTTAGTTGTGGCATGTGGGATCTAGCTCCCTGACCAGGGATCGAACCTGGGCCCCCATATTGGGAGTGGAAGTCTTAGCCACTGGACCACCAGGGAAGTCCCTCAACCTGCTTTCAAACAACTGTCTTTTGGATCCTTTAAAAGAGTCAGCAGTGCCTAAAACTGACTCCTTCAGCAGGACCTGCCTTCCTCGACATCACAGAAAACTTCCTGAGGGTTTCTCCTCCAGGCATGGAGCAGAAGCCCCATTGGGGTTTGGGGGCTGTGGGAGAAAGAAGGGGGACCTGGCTCAGGCCAGAGGAGGGGCCCCAGGCAGGCCAATGAGAGACAGGGAGGAAATGAGGCTGCCACTCTCTTACCCTGGGAGTGGCTGGACCTGGGACGGATCTCAGCCATCTCCTAGTGTCTACACATCTTTGCCCCCAACCCCTCACCTCCCCCAGGATGGCCCTCACAGACGAACAGCAGGTGATTTTTGAGAAGCTAACTCTGTATTGTGACAGCTACATCCAGCTCATCCCCATCTCCTTCGTACTGGGTGAGCTCCCCTTTCCACGCGTGGGGGTCCGGGTGGCTTCTCCAGGCTCCAGGCAGGCAGATCACGAGGAGCTCCTGGGAAGGCCGGTTGCACGTCAGTGCCTCTCGGTGGTTCAGGGAAATGGAGAGCCTGCAGCCAGAGGGACTGACATTAGGCATTAGGAAAAATGTCCAGCTAAGAGCACTTGAGATTCCACTTTCTGAGGGCAGGGGTCTCTGGATCCTTACGCAGGAGGGGAGGGATCCAGCGGATTTCCGGGAAAGCCAGTGGGGCCACAGGGAGAACTCAATCAAGTCTCTTGTGCCTTCACGCAAGGCTCTGATGGTCTCTCCTTCCCGAGCGCCTTCCAGCAGGATTGGGGTTGGGTTCAGCCAATTAGAAGGATGGAGAAACCGAGGCATCGCCCTCGCTGGGCTCTGGCCGCAGCGTGGGCCTTTGCCCCTCGCCCCCCCGTGCCCCTCTGCCCAGGCTTCTACGTGACGCTAGTCGTGACCCGCTGGTGGAACCAGTATGAGAACCTGCCGTGGCCCGACCGCCTCATGAACCTGGTGTCGTCCTTCGTGGAGGGCAAGGACGAGCAAGGCCGGATGCTGCGGCGCACGCTCATGCGCTATGCCAACCTGGGCAACGTGCTCATCCTGCGCAGCGTCAGCGCTGCGGTCTACAAACGCTTTCCCAGCCCACAGCACCTGGTGAAAGCAGGTGGGGCCAAGCGAGGGCAGTGGGCGGGGCCAGAAGGTGATGGGGCGGAGCCACAGCTGAAGATGGGTGGAGTCAGAGGTCCCTGGGCTGAGGATTGGGTGGGACCAGGGGGGTGGGCTCGAGATCTGGTGGGCAGGGACCTGAATTGGGCGGGGCGGTTCAGGGGCCTGAAAGTGGGTAGAGGCCAGGAACCGATTCAGAAGACAGGGCTTTGAGACAGGGCTAAGGACTCATGGAGGGGTCAGGGAAGAGTGAGGGTTGAGGGCCCCAGTGGGGCTTCGGGAACTAGTGAGGAACCAGAGTCTACCTCCGTCTGCTCTTTCGCTTCCTGCTGTCCGGTTTGCAGCCTGTATGTCAGCAACCTCTGTCTCTGGCTTGCCTGACGAGATCCTGGTTAATAAGACAGATCCCTCTCTCGTCTTCAGCCCAGAGTATCACAGAGTAGAAATTCAGTGATTATTTGTTGAGAGAAAGAGGATGGCAAAGGAGCGCTGAGGTCCTTGTGGGCTCAGCAGGGACTTGGTCTTGAACTCTGGACCCGTCCAGGCAAGGCCTGGCCAGCCACGCCTTCTGCAGCTTCTCCTGCCCACTGTCTTCTCCACTCTCTCCTGCAGGCTTCATGACACCCTCGGAACACAAACACTTACAAAAACGGAGCTTGCCACACAACTCGTTCTGGATGCCCTGGGTGTGGTTTGCCAACCTGTCAACAAAGGCATGGATTGGAGGTCGGATTCGGGACCCTATCCTGCTCCAGAGCCTGCTCAACGTGAGCCCATTACATTGATGGGGTTGCTGCGGAGCGGGCAGGGTCCTGCCCCACGAGGAACATGTCTCCTACAAAGAGAAGGCCTGAGCCCCCGAGGGTCTTCCCAGAGCCGGCCTTGCAACTGTAAGATCTCTCCCAACAGGATTCCATAGCCCAAGGTGGCCCCTTTGCAATTCCCCCTCCCATCCTCTCTCTAAAGTGAACCTCCAAGATCCTGGTTCCTTTTTGATAGTTGAGGAGGCTGAGGCACAGAGAGGTGAAGTCAGTTGTTCATGACCACACAGCCAGGGTCTGAGCTCCAGACCCTGGTATCTGGGGACGAGCTGGGGGCTGAGGCTGGAGAGCAGGTGGTGGTCAAGAGGAACCACCCTCTTGACCCTCCCTTCCTTCCTGCTCCCCTAGGAAATGAACACCTTGCGTACTCAGTGTGGACAGCTGTATGCCTACGACTGGATCAGCATCCCACTGGTGTACACTCAGGTGAGGACTAGGCTGGTGAAGGTGCCCCTTTGGGAAACTGAGAAGGACCCAGGGAGCAGCCTATGATGAGAAGGGCTCACTTAGAGACTGAAGAAGAGGCTTCCTCTGGAAATCACGCCTGGACTCTGCAGGGTCTTTTTAGTGCCAAGTTCAAAGAGTTTGGGCCCCTGCCTGGCCCAGGCAGTGGAGGCAATGTGATTACCCCCATTTGATTTAATTTTTTTTTTTCCGGCTGTGCTGTGAGGACTGTGGGATATTAGTTCCCTGTCCAGAGATGTACCCAGCCCCTCAGCAGTGAGAGCGTGGAGTCCTAACCACTGGACCGCCAGGGAATCCCCTCCCCATTTTATTTTTTAATTTTTATTAATCGGAGGCTAATTACTTTACAATATTGTAGTGGTTTATGCCATACATTGACATGAATCAGCCATGGATTTACATGTGTTCCTCATCCTGAACCCCCCTCCCTCCTCCCTCCCCATCCCATCCCTCTGGGTCTTCCCAGTGCACCAGCCCCGAGCACTTGTCTCATGCATCCAACCTGGGCTGGTGATCTGTTTCACACTTGATAATAGACATGTTTTGCTTCTCATTTCTGATGCAAATGTAATTCCAGACTCAAGGAAAAGAGGCTGTATATAATAGAAGGCCGGGCAAGTATTTGTTTTTTTAACACACACATGCACAAAGCAGGAGTCTACACTGCTGGGGAAATGTTCAAGTTGATAGTTCTGGGTAACATCCTCTGGATTAAGAAACAGAGTACCTACCCATATCTTGAAAATCAACCCTCACGGCCTTCCATGTCGCCGGCACTTAAAGGTAACTATTATTCTGACTTCTATCATCATAGATAAAGTTTGCCTATTCTTGAGCTTCACATAAATGAATTATAACATATATACTCTTTTGGATCTGGCTTATTTTTCACAATAATACACCTCGAAGAACTGTCCATGTTGTTTCATGTAGCCATAGTTCATTCCTTTGCAAGGATGCTCAACATGTCTTTGTGTAAGACACACCACAATCACCATATCCATGTTTGCCTATCCATGATGACATAAAAATACTTTCTGGATTTTCTTCTATAAGTCATATTGTTTTATGCTGCCAAAATCTAGGATAGCTCAACTGTTCATACAAACATCCCATCAATTCCATTCCTGAAAGAATGACAGGTAAAGGTTGTACAGCTCGTGGTGATTTCACGTTCTCATGGAGTTAGTTACTACATCCTCTTCATCTTTCCTATGCGAGCTTNTACAAATTGTGAAATTTTTTGTTCTAGTTCTGTGAAGAATGCCATTGGTAACTTGATAGGGATTGCATTGAATCTATAGATTGCTTTGGGTAGTATACTCATTTTCACAATATTGATTCTTCCAATCCATGAACATGGTATATTTCTCCCTCTATTTGTGTCCCCTTTGATTTCTTTCATCAGTGTTTTATAGTTTTCTATGTACATTACAGGTCTTTTGTTTCTTTAGGTAGATATACTCCTAAGTATTTAAAAATATGGAACGCTTCACGAATTTGCATGTCATCCTTGCACAGGGGCCATGCTAATCTTCTCTGTATCGTTCCAATTTTAGTATATGTGCTGTCGAAGCAAGCACTCCCCTCCCCATTTTAAAGAAGAGACACAGAGACCCAAAGTCACACGAGTGTGCAAGTCAGAGCAAGGCCTGTCCTCCCAGCCTAGGGAGCCTCCTGACCCCACAGTCCCCACCCAGCCCGTATCTGCCACTCCCTCCCTTCCCTCCCAGGTGGTGACCGTGGCAGTATACAGCTTCTTCCTGGCTTGCCTGATTGGGCGGCAGTTTCTGAACCCAGCCAAGGCCTACCCTGGCCATGAGATGGACCTCGTTGTACCCCTCTTCACATTCCTGCAGTTCTTCTTCTATGCTGGCTGGTTGAAGGTGAGCCTCCTGGGACAAGGCTGGCTGTGGCCCAAGGGTCATGGCCAACCAGGATAGGAGGGTCCCTACATTGTGGCTTTGGAGACAGTAGTCAGGCAGGAAGGACATCATTGAGGGGGTGGAGGGGTAGAAATGGCAGGAGCCCAGGTTTAAGGGTGGGTGCAAGGCTGCAGGGGCTTCCACCTGAGGATTTCCGGAACCTCATTTACCCTCAAGGTGGCAGAGCAACTCATCAACCCATTTGGAGAGGATGACGATGACTTTGAGACCAACTGGATTGTTGACAGGAGCTTGCAGGTATGAGGGGAGGAAGAGAACCTGTCCCCTGGACCCAGGGAGGAGGCCCACAGTTCTGTGAATTGCCCTCCAACCATTCACTCCCAGGATTCTCAGTCTAACTTCTGAGGCTATAGGTAGCATCAGTCTCTTCATTTCAGAAGGGTATCTGAGGCCCAAAGAGAGAGAAGTGACCCCTCCAAAATGTTAAGTGCTCATTTGTGTCAGACTCTGCAACCCCACGGACTGTAGGCCGCCAGGTTCCTCTGTCCATGGAATTCTCCAGGCAAGAATACTGGAGTGGATTGCCATTCCCTTCTCCAGGGGATCTTCCCAACCCAGGGATCAAACCTGGGTCTCCCGCATTGCAGGCAGATTCTTTACCATCTGAGCCACCTGTGACCTCTCCAAGTCACCTGGCAAATTCATGGTCAGTTACGGCTTACCTTTCTGTTGGACTTCTCCTTCTGTCCCTGATGACCAGGTGTCCCTATTGGCTGTCGACGAGATGCATCAGGACTTGCCACCAATGGAGCGAGATATGTACTGGAATGAGCCAGAACCACATCCCCCCTACACAGCTGCTTCTGCCCAATCTCGCCGACCTTCCTTTTTTGGCTCCACCTTCAACATCAGGTGGGAAGTGCCAGGGAGCCATTTCAGTGGGTATAAAACCCCAAATGCAAGGGTCTGCTTAATTAAGAACTTAGGGTTAGTTAATGCATGTGCATGCTCAGTTGCTCAGGCATACCCAACTCTTTGTGATCCCATGGACTGTAACCCACCAGGCTCCTCTGTCCATGGCATTTTCCAGGCAAGAATACTGGAGTGGATTGCCATTTCCTCCTCCAGGGGATATTCCCATCCCAGGGATTGAACCCATGTCTCCTGCATTGGCTGTTTACCACTGAGCCACCAGGGAAGCCAGTTAATGCATATTGGGTGTCTTTTTAAGTGCTGGGCATTGTACTCTGCTCTTTATATGTATATATAAGCCATTCTGTTCTTGTTCCACTAACCTTGGTTTGTTATCTTTAGTTTTTAGATGATTAAGTCCAGGTTCAAAGAGTTTAAATCAGTTGCCCAACCCAAGGTTACATAGCTAGCAAGCAGCACAGGTGGGCCAGGTATGTCTGGTTCCAACTCCACACCCTTAACACTTATCTTGTGCTGTGTAAGGACTCTTAAAGCTATAAGGGCCCTTAGGTACCTCCAATCAAACCGTTCTGTGTCCAGAGTTGGAAACTGAGGCTCAGAGAGAGAAGGGACTTACTCAAGGGCAGTCAGTGGTTAGTGATGCAGCTATGTCAGGGCCTGGTTCCTGACTCTGGCTTAGAATTCTTGTTTTCTAATAAGCTAGGGTGTTTGGATGAAGAGTGGGAGTGGGGTTCCCTGGGCAAGGGAGCAAGCAGGAGGTTGGGTCATCACAGGCACCTTCTGAGTAGACTTCTTACTAAAGGATATAGGCCTCATGTCACCCACAGCAGCCACACTTTGCCCCACATGGGTCCTGTTTCCCTGATTTGGTTAGAACCTCTAGAGTTGTAGCTGGGCCACAGTGGGCCAAGGGGCTGCCCCAGACAGCTCTGTCTCCCCAGATGACAGAGTGGGGGGAACTTTGGAGAGTGTTCGCTGCATCTCAGGGTCCATCCCATCAAGGTTTTCTGCTGCATGATTAAAATCACTGTTCTCTAAGAACTGAATATCCTATTAAGCAGTCAGTAGAATTAGCTAGTGGAGAAGGCAATGGCACCCCACTCCAGTACTTTTGCCTCGAAAATCCCATGGATGGAGGAGCCTGGTAGGCTGCGGTCCATGGGGTCGCTAAGAGTCGAACACAACTGAGCAACTTCACTTTCACTTTTCACTTTCATGCATTGGAGAAGGAAATGGCAACCCACTCCAGCGTTCTTGCCTGGAATGAAGCATGGGGAGAATCTGGACATGGGCCAGGGCAGCCACATTCTGGGGTAGGTAGGTTTTGCTTCACAGAGTATAGGCTTTGGACTCCCAGGAAGTCAGGTTTTTCCCTGTACCTGGGGACAAATAGTTGATTGCCTGGAGTGAGGGGTTTTAAAAGGAAAATGTGAGTGCTGAAGAGGAAGTCCTTAAATACCTGGCTGGGAAGTTTGGACATTAACAGGGACAAGACGTGAGCTCAGCCAGGAGGGATTAAGTGAGAGGTACAGGATGGATCAGCAGAGAGGCAAGTCTAAGGTGAGGTGAGGAAGACTGTTCTAGGCCTAGGGCCAGAGGGAGGGAGATGAGAAGGTACAGAAGTCACATCAGGCTTCAGGCCATTGGCCCTCCACTAACCCCAGGGTCTTCTGTTTCTTTCCAGTCTGGATAAGGAAGACATAGAGTTTCAGCCAGATCTAGAGGAGCAAGAGGGTGCTCACACTGGCATCATTAGCCGCTTCCTAGGGCTGCAATCCCACGACCGCCAGTCCCCCAAGACAAACTCAAAAACCAAACTACTGTGGCCCAAGAAAGAAGTCCTTTCGCATGAGAACCAGCCCAAGAACCTTGGAGGGGCCGGACAGAACACTAGCGACCAGGAAGACAGAAAGGCCTGGAAGGGGGAAGATGTTTTCAAGTCCGCGGTGCTCTATGGAAGGTCAGGCTACCACAGTGCCCCACAGACACCACTCAGCCACACCCCTATGGTCTTCCCACCTGGACAGTCAGCACCCTCAAGTCTTCGCAGAATCTCAGGCATAGATGACCCTGTCAAAGATCAAAGCCTTCAGCCTGCAACCCCCAGGTCCAAGAAGAGTTTTGAATTGCTCCCAGAGAATCCTGGGGCCTCAACAGAGCACCCAGAAGCGATTCACATGAAAAGGAAAACTGTCGAGTTTAACCTGATGGACATGTCAGAGGCCCCTGAACATCTCAGAGAACCACATTTGGGACAGTCAACAAGCAACATACACACTATACTCAAAGATCATGGAGATCCTTATTGGGACTTGGAACAACAGGTCTGTCCTCTACTCAAACCAGGGCCACTAACCCCCCAGCTCCCCAGGGGTGACCCTCACCAGCTTCCCTTGCTCTGAATCCCCTTTCATTCACAATTCTCCTGTGGTCCTGTGACGGCCAGAGCATGCTGGCCCTATGCCCAGCACTGGCTTAGGGTACACACCTGGCTGCCACAGCAGGCCCATGAAAAGGTGTCGGGCAACTTTTGCTTATTTCACCTAAGAGGCTGACATCACCAGGACTTCTCTGGGGCCCAGGTAGAGGAAGATGAGGTAGTACTGACAGGAATGATGTCAAAGGGCCATGAGGCCAGGTTTAGATGGGCAGATGTTACCAGTGGACTGAGCTCACTTTAAGCAGGGGTGGCAAACAAAAACATGGGGCAGAACTCAGGACTCTTGTTGCTGCCCAAGAACCCAACTTACTGCCCAGGCTTAGCTGGGAAGTCACATATGAGCTCTGCCCCCTAACAACAGGGGTCCTGAAGCACTTCTGAGTATACCATCTACAACCCTGAGAAACAGTAGATAGGGTGGGGGAATCCAGATCCATTGGGGTTATCTTATGGATCTTATGCTTTGAGGACCTCACTAAAAAGACTTCTGAACTTAAATGAGCTCTTCCTGTTTTGAGGTCAACCTAAAGCTGTTGCAATACCACCAGAGGTTTCCCTTTATTCCAGATTTCCTGGACATCCACTCACCCAGTTAGATCTACACTACCCCACCCCTAATCACCATGTGAGAGGAAGTTTTAACTTCCCATTTCTGGACTCTCAAAAGCAGTTCTTCTGTGGTCATAATACATAGCTTTGAAAACTAAATGTTTAGCAAATCACTGTGGCTGGTTGAGGGGATAATAGAGCAGGCTAGCAATGAATCTCTGCTGTCTTCCAACACTACTCACTGGTGAATATTTAAGATGTCTCCATTTTCGCCCTCCTACTGCAGCTGCTATCTTACTGAAATGAAGGTATCTTTCTATACTCATGTAAACTTTCTCAAATTCTCACTAGGGATGAAGCACATTCCTAGCCTGCTTCCTCCAAGGGGGATGCTCCACCGGCCTGGTCCTACCTGCGTGTACACCAGCAGGACACTGATCCAGTCATAGGCATATAGCTGTCCACACCGAAGAGTATGTTTCTATGAAATAAATGGTTAGCTTCATGGATAACAAAAATCAGTAGTTGCAAATCTACTTTAAGCCTTAAAATGCTTTTTGTACATATAAATTGTGAGAGCTAGAGCTGCTGGAAACATAGAACACCTAATTCAGAATCAGGAGTCCTGAAGTTCTGTGTGAATTCAATACACTCAAGTCTTGGTATCTTTCCCAAACTAAGGAATAAAATAAATAAATACAAATCCTCCCCAGTGTTCCATTTTGACTAGGCCTGACTGGACCATGGTGGTACTTACACTTTCAATCAAGATGACCTAGATACTTTTCCAGCCCATCCCAAAAATTCAAGAGACAACAGCTGGGTACCAAATTACTTTATTTGAAGGAATGGTACGAAAGAAAGAACTTAAGTAGATGTTTTGTTACAACTTATAGAAAAGGTGAAGGTAACCCAAATATGCATGCACTGCCTTGGTGACCAGGAGTCACCCCTGTGGCTGTGGGAAGCCAGCCTGAGGCTTAGCTCTCACTGTGTCCCAGGGTGTGCTTGTCAAAGAGGTACTCTGCCATGCCAGATCCAGGGGCCCCCATCTTGCGCAGGTTGGTTACGTGGTCACCCAATTCTTTGATGGCTTCCACCTGCTCATTCAGGTAATGAGTCTCAATGAAATCACACAGCTAGAAAAGAGAATGGGCAAGAAAGTTATTGGTAAGCCTCCCCGGCCCCTCAGGCAATGATTTCCTCCATTTACTCCCAGGTGTCAGCGTACTCACATGGGGATCGTTTTTTTCAGTGGCCAGTTTGTGCAGTTCCAGTAGTGACTGATTCACACTTCTTTCCAAGCACAGCGCACATTCCATTGCATTCAGCCCATTCTCCCAGTCATCACGGTCTGGTTTCTGAATGAGAGGCGCTTAGGTGAGTGTACCTGCAACCTCTGCCATAAACACACCAAGCCAGCAAGCATCTAGTGTCACAACCGCGACTGGCACAAGCAAGAGTGCCAAGTTCCCCCGACAATGGTTTCCAACTTAATATCCTGGCTCATTACTGTCTGTCTGCTTTAGCTTAGATGGGAGGCTTGAAAAAGCACAAAAGACAAAAGCCCAAGGTCCCACCTGACAATGACAACTGGTGGCATCAGGGATTTCTGATACGTGAGGATTGCTAGAACAACCCAAGGATCTTTCGTTTACCTTGATATCCTGAAGGAAGATTCGGCCGCCTCGCTGGTTCTGCAGCTTCATTAGTCTCTCAGCATGTTCCCTCTCCTCATGAGATTGGTGAAGAAAGTACTTGGCAAAGTTCTTCAAAGCCACATCATCGCGGTCAAAATAGTAGGACTGAAAGTGGAACACGAACATGTTAGAGTCCCAAAAGAAAGCAGTCTGCTAGCTGGTTTCTCAAAATGCAGCAAGGCTCTGAGCCTAAGGAGACTGGAGCAGGGTGTGTTCCCGGATTGAATAGTAATTCATTTTTACTCTGAAACACAAAAATGAAACTTGGTCCTTGAAACTGGAAGTTTGTTTCCTGTACAATATCATGGGAACTGTCTCTACCATGGAACTCTTAAGCATTTCTGTTAGTGCAAAATAAAGTTTTTACAACCACTGTCGAATTTGCTCAGAGAGACCTTGGGAGTATTTACTCTGCACTATTAGCACCTTCTCTTCTCTGAACAATCCTTGTTCAAACTCGAGCTGTCAGCTTACAGCAGGCTGATGATTTCTAAAATTATCCCAGGTAGGCAAGTTAACAGTTATCGGAAATGCTATTGCACATTTAATGCTAAATATATTACCAGTACAAAACAAAAATTTGATTCCGTTTTACACCCTTTCTGTATTCAGGTGTTCCTAAAATGGAATGACAGTCACAGATATCCAGGTCTGTTCCAAACTCATCTGCAACATGTCTATTCTCGGATGATTTGCACAACGCTGGCGGTTAAAAACAATTCTAACTAAAACTCTTATCACACCGCCTAAAACAAGGATTTTGGAAAACTGATTCCACGCATTACTGCATGGAAAAATATCTGGCCCCGTAACTGTTGGTGGACTTTCTCCGAGAACTAAGGGTTCAATTACGTCACAACCCTTAAGACACAAAAAAGATAAATTAGCCTGGCACAAGGACGTGACTCAGAAGGCGCCAGTGTCGGCAGAAGGGGAGATTTCTGGATATGCTTCCATTTAAGTGGGACTTAAGAGATAAGCAGAGCAGAGAGGTGCGGCTGGTTCTTCGGCCCAGGAGATAAACCATTTCGCGCCAGCTCCCAGAGTTGGACACCATTACCCAGAAGGCTCCGCCGCACTCAGGGGGATGGGAGCTTAACCTCCTAACTCCACCCAACCCGCCCCCCCCCATCACGTGATGGGAGCCACACGAAGGGATGAAAATGCTAAAGTCCACTTTCCAAACTGCGGGGTCGCACTGGTGGCAAGCGTAGCAACCCCATAAGGAAACTCAGCTCCCTTTAAACAAAAAAGGGTGCGCAGAAGCGGCCCCGGCCTATGGGAGAGGGGGGGGGACGAGCAGCCGGGTTCCGTTCAAGCACTGTTGAAGCAGGAAACCGCGGCGACTCTCCGCGAAGACTGTGGCGCAGGTGGCCGTCGCCCGCCTCTTATAGCCGGAGCGGGCGTCAGCCCCGCCACGGCCAATCACGCTGCCCGCCTGCCGAGCCCCGCCCTTTCCGGTGCAAGCGCGGTCCCGACCAGCTGGGATGTTGGGCTGGGGGAGGGGAGGGAAAGGGACGGAGGCGGGGGCGGCGGTGGTGGGGCCTGGGGGCCCTGAAGGCAGCTGCTTGTTGTTTGCAGAGTTGGGCGCGTTTCATAGGGTTGAAGAAGACCTGAGCGGGGAGGGGGGGCAGGAAGCCCAGCTGGAAGCCCTGACCCCGATGGCGTCCTGGGGTCTAGGAAACAACGGGAAACTGCCCCTGATCCTAGGGGCGTCGGGGCGAATCCGAGGTCCCAAAGGGCTCCCCGAGACTCTTGGCCAAGGGGACCTGAAACTTCCGAGCCCTAGAGCCGCAATTGCCATCCCCAGAGCCCGAGGTGGTTACCTCTTAATGCAAATAGGGAACCTCGAGGGTGAACGTGGGCCCGGGGAGGCCGAGTGAGGGGGGGCTAAGAAAGGGGCTCGCTTTCTCTTCCTCAAAGCCTAGAAAGGGGCCGAATGCAGGCGGGGTGGGGGGTCCAACGCCCGTCGCAGGTCGCCCGCCCCGCCCGCTTTGGGCTCCGGCGACCCTGTCCGCCTTTTGCGGAAAGCAAACATGGCTCCTCGTGCGTTTGATACAACAAAGACTGGGCGGGCTGTGTTTCCCGAGAGACGGCGGAGACCGCCTTCCCGAGAGAACGGTGGGGCTGAGCCACTGTTGTTCAATCGCTAAGTCGTGTCCGACTTTGCGACCCCAGGCACTGGTCTCTGAGAAAATCTCCGGTAACTTAAAACACAGGGGCCGGGGTTAGAAAAGAGGGACGAAGCCAGTTGGATCTTGAAAGGATACCTCGAGGCCATTTTGAAGTGGCCTGTTTCATCAGCCCCAGTCCCAGAAGCCTCTGGCTGAGGAGACCCTACAGGGAGCCACCCTCGGGGTTGTCCTTGGAGAGAAGCTGATGGCACTTCCTGACAGATGCCAGGGACCCTGGGGGAGGGGGCAATGCGTGTGGCTTGCAGCTGTGCACGGAGTGCGTGTGAGTTCGTGGATGGCAGAAATGGAGAGCCGCCAGGCACCTGCTCCCAGTCGGCTACCCTCCGGGTCACTATTCTTAGCCAGGGGCTGAAACACAGGGTTTGGAGGACCTACCGAAGAACCTTTGCAGGATATTCACAAACGTGCAACTAGAAGCTTGGCCTTCAAACATTAAAAAAAAAAAAAACAAAAAAAAAACCCCTTAAATTTTTTTTTTTTAATTAAAAAAAGACAAAAAAATAAAAAGATGTGTCTTTGGAACTGAATCACTTTGCTATACATCAGAGATTAGCACAACATTGTAAATCAACTGTTTCAATTATGAAAAGTTTTTTTTTAAGGACGACTAAAATACTAAGTTGCTGATTGAATTATAAGGGTTTCTCTTGAGTATTCATTTCAAAATGAACATATGTTTGTTTCAGGAAAAATGTTTTCAATGGGACAAGAGCTGCTTACAAAAAGGTAAGCAGAAGTATAGTGGGAGATTACAGACGAGGGGGGTCTTACCCAGTATGGGATAAGAAGTCAGGGAAAGCTTCCCTAAGAATGTGACACAGGAACAAAGTCTGAAGGGAAGGTAAAAAGGGAGGTGGGGAGAGAATTCCAAGCAGTTGTTGAGTTGCTGAGCTGTGACTAACTCTTTTGGGACTCCATGGACTGACTGTAGCTTGCCAGGCTCCTCTATGAGATTTCCCAGGCAAGAATACTGGAGTGAGTTGCCATTTCCTTCTCCAGAGGATCTTTCCAATCCAGGGATCAAACCAGAATATCCTTCGTTGGCAGGAGGATT